CATGCTTTCGTTGCTCAAATACGGATAACTAGATTTGGAAAATGTTTTTGGGAGGAAATAGACTTTATTAGCAGTGGAAACGTGGATTGATCGTGCTGGTGAATGAGGGACATGAAAGGAGTAGGCCGGAGTGAAAGTCTTCTAATCACCGAATGGCAGTTGCAAAAGTTGATGAAGTGCAAAGAATATCGCGAAACAACTTCGAGCTGCTGTGGCCGAAGCACAACAACAATTTCGACTGGCTGTATGTAGACGACAGAAGACATTCGCTCTTCGTTCCCACGGGGTTATAAACTGAAATGGATTATTCACCGATTGATCATTCACTGACCGATTTCATGCATGTACATGTAAAAGCAATTGCACAAATTAATCCAAAATTCACTCGAAATGAACTGAATTCTTACAAGCTAACAATAACTAATAGCATAAAGTTAGTGTCACAAACCTCAAACGGTTGTTTTATCCCAAAAATATCCATCCATAGTTTATATTCAGCATTCGGCACCCCCTTTAAATGTTCTGCAATCCCATCCACTAACGCATCGGCGAATACGTATTGATCATCAATTGTTGAAAACCCTTTAATTTTGAAACATTCAGCACGTTTCATTCTCACATACAGCCTCATTCTCCCACTGACTTGTCAGGGAGTGAGGAATGGGAGTTAAACATCGAGTTCACATTTGATTCTCTCCATAACTTCACCGCATAAAATTCATTGAGATTTTTTCAGAAATTCGACCCTTATAACAAGGAATACATTGGAAATTTGGTGTTTTGATTGCATGAACTTATCAAGTTTTCAGCAGATAATTCAGACGGCAATAAATGACTGGAACGCCATCCTACGGTAAGCCTGGACTCGCGTTTTCGTACGAATCAATTATGAGGAACCATTTTTAGGAAGGAAGCAATTCCTCATTATAAAATTTGCAACAAAAAATTTAGCCAGAAGATGAATCCGTCGGCCGGAATGAAACGAGTGGAATTTGGAGAATTTTTCTATTGAAATTTGTTTTTGTTGTTAAAAATCGGTATTCTCACTCAAAATTTCATACCATCGTATCGATTTCCTTGTGATTCTTTGAGATATTGCAATGACGAACGTATATTCTCATATTCATGCTTTAAACAGATCAACCATCGTTTACCGTTCGAATCACCACCAAAAATCACGTGAATTCCTTTAAAATGTTTTGTTTTCGTTTTTCCAATGGTTTGTTCCATTTCAGTTCAGTAAATGTGTTCTATAATGTTTTGTGAACCTACAAAGCAGTAGTTTTTCACGTTCTGTACGCGTTCTTTTCCTTTCAATTAACTCAGATTTCATTCGTTTTTAAGCAACTTGAAGCGTTCTTCAACAGACTAACCTTTCATTTCTCCACTTATGTTCACCTGTTTGCTGGATGCATTGAAATTCGGCTAAAATTTCTCACATTCAAAGACTGGTAAAAAAGAAGTTTTTGGTTCTTTGGGAATGGTTTATGCTATTCTAA